CAGATCCGGGTTGACCCCCACCAAACCCCCCTTCAACGAATTCTCTATCGGGACTCGCCAACCAAACCAATTCAAGATTATGAACTACAAACGGTGACCTTTGGTTTGAATTGTGCGCCGTATCTGGCCATTCGGACACTTTTGCAACTGGCGGACGAAATAGAAAATAAATATCCTCTAGCGGCGCATATCTTGCGAAAATCAATGTATGTGGATGATGTTTTGGCAGGAGCTCATGATCTTGAGACGGCGTTGGCCGCTAGGGACCAACTAATTTCGGCACTTTCTTCGGCAAAGTTTGAATTAAGAAAATGGACATCCAATGATAAGGCAATTTTGAATCGTTTCCCGCCAGAACATTTAGTGGATGCGCAATTGTTGTCATTTGTGGAAGCTAGCAGTTCTAAACCTCTTGGTATAAGGTGGAATGCTAGGTTAGATTCCTTTTATTTTGATGTCAAACCTATAGAGAAGAAAACGTCATATTCGAAACGGGAGGTTTTGTCGGCAATAGCTAAGTTGTTTGATCCTGTTGGTTGGTTAGGACCAGTTATTGTCACTGCAAAAATTATAATGCAAAAGATCTGGCTAGATCAAATCGGTTGGGACGATCCGCTTGTACAAGCCACTTATTCGGAATGGCTTAAATTCGTAGAGACATACCCCCAAGTAAATGCAATTCAAATTCCTCGGTGGGTTCGGTACACCCCTCAATGTTCGGCGGAATTGCATGTGTTCTCTGATGCCTCAGTTAAGGCATACGCCGGGGTAGTATATATTCGAATTGAAGTCCCTGGTCAGAATGTGTTCGTGCATTTGCTATCTAGCAAGACCAAAGTAGCTCCAATTAAATCAATTTCCCTTCCTCGTTTGGAACTTTGTGGAGCAGTTTTAGCCTCGGAACTTTTGAAGGTTATTACAAAAGAGATAGACGTAGAATTTCGTCAGGTCTATTGTTGGACAGATTCTACGATAGTTTTGTCGTGGCTTCGGAAAACACCTTCTACTTGGACAACATTCGTCGCCAATAGAGTTTGTAGAATCCAAGAAAATGTTGGTAATCACAACTGGTACCACGTTCGGTCGGAAGATAATCCTGCAGATTTAGGAAGTCGAGGTATATCGCCAGTTGATTTAGCTAATAGTTCCCTTTGGTGGCATGGGCCGGAGTGGCTCAGTCAAGATAAATCGAGTTGGTCTATTCGAGATTTAACTCCACTTGAAACAGATATTGAAATGCGCTCGGTGCAAACTCATTTTTCCTTTGTTTCGTCAACTTTTGTAGATATTTTGGATAAATATTCATCCTTTGTAAAGGGCATTCGTGCAGTTGCATATATGTTTAGGTTCCTTCGTCAAACTTGTAGTCGATACCGAGGTAAATATTGTTATCCCGATAAAAGAATTACGACGTCGGAATTTGAGGAGGTTCGACTTCTCCTAATAACCCTCACTCAAAAGGTACATTTTGTAAAGGAATATAAAGATTTGTTGGATAAGAAATTATTATCAACCTCGAGCAGTCTTGTTCCTTTAAATCCAATTTTAGATGACAATGGTGTCATGCGAATGAATGGTCGTTTGGCACGTTCGCCAACTCTTTCTCCATCGGAACGGTGTCCAATTATTCTCCCTTATAAAAGTAGGTTCGCTAGACTTTTGGTGGAATACGTTCATATAAAGTGTGTTCACGGTGGAATACAGTTAATGCTACGCACTTTACGAATGGAATATTGGATTCCAAGAGTAAAAAATTTGATCCGATCAGTCATTCGGAATTGTAAAGTCTGTTTATTAGATAAAAAGAAACATTGTAGCCAAATTATGGCAGCGCTACCACCGGAAAGAACAATGATTGATAGGGCGTTCACTAATACCGGTATTGACTTTGCCGGTCCTTTTGATGTGAAATCGTACAGTGGTCGAGCTTGTAAAATTACCAAAGGATATGTTTGTGTGTTCATTTGTTTTTCGACTAAGGCTATTCACTTGGAAGCCGTATCTGATTTGTCAACTGCTAACTTCATGGCCGCATTACATCGATTTATTGCTCGTCGAGGTTGTCCACGTACGATATTTTCTGATAATGGTACAAATTTTGTTGGCGCTTCACGTGAAATTAGGCGGAACTTCATTCAATTCATTCGCGAAAGTTCCGAATCGATTTCAGATACCCTTATTCAGCAGGGTCTAGAATGGAAATTTATTCCAGCGGGTGCACCACATATGGGTGGACTCTGGGAAGCGGGAGTTAAAAGTTTCAAACATCATCTTCGAAAATATAGTCGAAATCTTCGTTTCACATTTGAAGAGTTAGCCACGGTCTTATCCCGAATAGAAGCTTGTCTTAACTCACGTCCTCTTTGCCCAATGTCGGATAGTCTAGTTGAATTTGTAGCTATAACACTCGGTCATCTTTTTTGATAGAAGCTCCTTTAGTTGCTCCGCTTGATCCTCTTATTTTTGGACAACGGATATCGCTCGTGACTCGGTTTTAGAAAGTCAGTTTTGTATCATTTGAGGAATGAGTGGAAATTTCAGCAAAGGCATGTTCTAAAGGACGAATTAGTCGTGGTTCGGCACGAGAATCTCCCTCCGACCTCGTGGAAGTTAGGTCGTGTAGAAAATGTTTACCCGGGTGTAGATGGACACGTTCGAGTGGTAGATGTTCGTACGGCAAACGGCGTTGTAAAGCGGCCTATATCTAAGTTGGTCATTCTGACCGACCAATCGTCGAATGATGAAAATCATTAAAATATTTTTCTTCCCTCTTAGTACCATGGACGCTTCAAATATGTACGCAATCGATCTTATCGCTCAAATCGACAACGTACTAGAGAGGGCCGATGTACCAAAGAAGCGTACCACTTCGGAAGTTTTGGATGAGTTGGTTCGTCCAATAGCAGCGGTGAAAATAACCGAGTCGGAAACCGAATCCGTAACTGCGGGTTCCAGCATGTCCCCTATCGTCGAAGATCAAATGTCCAAACCCGTAACTGCGGGTTTTAATTGCGTTCACCCATCAGAATCCGTAACTGCGGGTTCTTCGTCGACAAGTTCGGTATCCAGGCCAGATCCCATAACTGTGGGTGACTCGGTATTTGTTCGATCATCGGAGTCCGTATCTGCGGGCTCCTCGAATTTAAATAGAAATTGTCGCGTTTGTAATCGCCGGCATTCGATTGGTACGTGCCGAGATTTTCTTGCGATGTCCGTTGAGGCTCGCATACATATTATAAACGTAAACCGGGATTGCACACGCTGCCTGGCCAAATGGCATCAAGCCAATGACTGTCATAGTCAAAAAGTGTGTTTGAAGTGTGGAGGTAGACACAACACACTATTACACAAAGATTCGGCGGATAACGGTCATGTAACTAAAATGTCCGTCCGTTCTCGTGAAAACATAAGGTCTCGTCCGTATCGCAGTCCGATGTCAGGTCCGAGATTTAGATCAGATTCAACATCGTCCGCTGATAGTCGATCAATCGCAAATTTTGTTAGTAACTCACTCGGGTCATTACCCTTGCAACAGGTGTCAACATTATCCCCTAGTCTTATCGTAAGACTTCAGCATGTCGGCCCTTCAATTCCAATTCGTGCAGTATTGGATCCTTGTGGTAGGCAAAGCCTAATATGTGCCTCAATGGTGTCTGACCTGAGGCTTCCCACATCCAATTTAGATGGGATCCGGTTCTGTCGCATTTCGGTGACATCAACTTACGATCCATTTCAAACCCTATCGGTCATGGCACGGGTTGCAGACTTACGCCATGTTGTTACGCCGTTGGAAGCCATCTCTGAACGGACGAAAGAATCGTTTTTGGGTCTACCTCTCGCTGATCCGTGCTTTTTCAGGCCAGGCCGCGTGGCTTTAGTGTTTGGCCCTGAAATGTATGCCAAAATCGTCACCAATCGGGTGCAAGCGATGCCGGGGCTTCCTGTAGCCCATTATACGATATTTGGATGGGTGCTCTCTGGAGTATGCCACACCTAGTTCTTAGGTATTAAATGTTCGTATTTAATTGAAAAAAAAAAAATAAATGAAATTATTATGAATGACTCACACTGCACTGTCCTACTCTATCTTATTTGTACTTATAGATTAAGTTATATATATTGTATAATTTGGAGTGTTACAACATTAATAATGTTGCAAGGGGGTCGCCAATGTTTAATTTAGAAAATCTATTGATTTCATTCTCTTGGGCGTTTACACTTCTATTGTGTTTCAAAACGCATTGAATTCCATATTCGTTACAATCTTCATACTCCGTAATATTACAACATTGAAATGTCAAATGGGAGATTCTAACGAGTATGGAATTAGCGCCGACGCCACCTTCCTTTATTATTGTTGACACTCAAAAACTCTCTTTTCGTTGGCCTACCAAACAACAGGTAATCTGTCACAATCTCTAAATTTTTCCACTCTTCTATTTTTTTATCAATAAAGCAACTGCCTTTATTTTAATTTAAATCTAAAAACGTTCGTGTTTTTATTTCTTCTATTTTGCACGCAATTTCGGCGTCAATATAATATACTCAATACTTAAATATATTGAATACAAAAAATACATCAAAAGACAAACCACTATTAATGTATAATATATGACTATTTCAAATTATCATCTTACCATTATTTATAAAAAAAAGACACACACAAACATACAACAATTATAGAGCAGCTACAATAATTAAATATAATATGGCAAAGCACACAATATTCAAGCAATCGATCATACAAACCACACAAATAATATTATTTAAAAAAATAATAAAATGAAGAATACATAAATAACAAAAAATTAAAACATATTTTAAATTTTAGTAAACAAGACCAATTAAAAATCAATGTTAAAACGGAAAACAAATATGCATGGGAGAATGAGTGTCAAATAATTTAATAGGTATTGGTTAGTGAAAATAGCACATTTATGTCTGTTATAGGAGATGTAAATATATGCATATGTGTATTTAAATGTTTATAGGATATAAATATTTAAAAAATATATAAAGTTTTGTTTTTGGATTCTTACAGTGAATTTGGGGGTATCTGTACTCAAAGGCATATGGTTGCGATAACCATAAGGAGCTTCACACTGATCACAGGGATGTTGGAGTCTGTTGTTTTTGTTTTATTGGTGATTTTGGTGGTGGTGTGCAACAAAATTATTGGTGATGAAAGATATTGTTATGTGGCAGGGGGTTTATTTTTAGTAGAATATGGTTTTTTACATATTTTTTGTTGGTAGTTGTTGTTCAGTTCAGTTGATGGTTAGTGGTAAAAATTTAAAAAATTGTTCATGTTAAAAATACAAAAAAAAAAGAAACAAGTTGGGATTAGAATTAGAAAAAAATAATATATAACAAGAAAAGTAACGTAAGGTAAGTTGTTTTAAAAATGATTTTGTTTTATAAATTAAACTTAAAATAATTATAAGAATAAATAATGTATTCGGAAATTATTATAATTTAAATAATTAATAAATCTAATAATGGATTTTTTAAATGAAAAAATTTTACAGTCTTTAATAAACCAAACAGCGGTTCCAAAAGAGACTTTAAGAATATCCAAAATAATTCGGATTTTGTACAAAGGCATATAACACAATAAAATTTGTTGATATCATTTTCACATTATTAAAAATGTTATTATAATCAGATATAAAAATATAAGACGGAATAATCATGATCATTTCAAAATAGCAAAATACAAATGGTAATATGATATCCAGAAACTTAAACTTAACTTAATAAAAATGTTCTTAATTATTTGGGCCCAGCCTTAATTTTTTGGATTTGGAATTATTTTCCGATTGCTGGCTTAAGAATAGTTATATACCAAAGAAAAATCTCCAAAAATTAAGGCTGGACGAAATAATTAACAACATTTTTATTAACTTAAGTTTAAGTTTCTTTATTTTTATGAAGTCTGGAACCACTGTATGTAGATTTTCCATAAGTAATTTATATAAAAAATCTATGTTAATATTTTCTGTTTTTTAGTTATCAGAACCACTATATTGACAACAAATTATTTTATTTTTTTTAAATTTCATGGTATAAAATGGTGATGAATGATTTAGTATTGTTTTCAATAAATTAAACCAAAATAAGCAGCATTAAAATTAATTTAGATCAGTTCAAATATTTTGAAATAAAATATAAGAAATGTGGGTCTGTATATAAAATTCTTACAAATGCTATCTGTATATGCATTAAATTAAAAGCCTGCTTATTATTTACACGCTATCTCAGGAACTTATACATACAATACAATATTTTTCTAATCATAAAGTTGTAACAATACATTTTATATAGCTTATCTTCTGATGTTGATCTATTTTAATTTGATTATCGGATCCTGCCACTGTTTATTTCATAACACTATATTCCGTTTGCCTTATGAAAACCTTAACCATACATAACATTCAGATGAGTTTTTAAACAATATCCGTCTCAACATTATTCGCGAACAAATTATGCAAAAGTCGACTTAAGAAAAAACAAAAAATTACCAGAGCTTCAAACTTGTAGCTGGACAGATAACTCTTACATGCCATATCCCTGATATTTAGACAGTCAGAATTTTTTCTAACGAAGACCTGGCTCCACTAAACAGACTATTGTGTAAAAACAGTAGGGATTCTACAACAACAACTAAATAGACCTGATTAAGTGACAAGTTATGGTTTGCGGACGAAGTATTCGCGTGATATTGGATTTGTAAATGTTGACCCTTTGTGGAAGAGGTACCAGAAAGAGTGGGCCAATAGGTCCCATCTTCAAACCTGATCTATTCTGGATTATAATAATAGGTTGTGCAAAATTTGGTTCAAATCGGAGATTCCATTCGCCTGATATTGGATTTATAAATATTGAAAATTTTGACCCTCTGTAGGGGGTACCAGAAGGAGTGGACCAATGAGTCCCATCTTCAAACTTGATCTAGGCTTGGTTAATAGAATAGGTTGTGTAAAGGTTGGTTCAAATCAGACATTCCATTAGAATGATATTGGATTTATAAATATTGAAATTTTTGACCTTCTGTGGGGGAGGTACCAGAAGGATTGGACCAATGGGTCCCATCTTCCTACATGATCTTGGCATAAAATTAATTTTTAGCACAATTTTGACCATTTTGTTGGAGAGGTACCAGAAGGAGTGGATCGATATTTGCCATATTCGAACTTAAACTATGTTTGGAAAAAAATATTAAGATGTGCAAAGTTTGGATTACATCGATTATTTCCGTCGAGAGTTATCGTGCGCACCAGCCAGACAGACAATGGATAAATCGACACAAAATATTCTGAAATAAATTTGGTCCAAAGATACATGGGATCTAAAACCAATATTTCGATGAGGCACATTTTCACCATATCAAAGTGTATATACCCTCATTAGACATAAGGCTGAGGGTAAAAATATATTTAACTAAAAGTAATCAGAACTTCATGTACAATTTCATAGCGATCAGCGCGCCCTCCAGTGTGGTAATGGAAATACTAAACAATATCACAATACGTAAACACCTGTAAGTATTTCAGTACAACTCGAGTACACACATACATATTAACAACTTCTATTCATTCTTTGGCCTTTCCCATGTAAAATTTCGTAATTATAGTGTTATAATTGCGACCTCTGGAGCGACTAGAAAACAGTGGAAGTTTTTGATCCATTTAAATAGGTCGGGTCTATCGAAAAATTTACCAAAATACCGACAAAAGGTTGGACAATTTGATTGGGACGTTTAATATACTGAAAATAGGGCGGGTTCTTAATAAAGGAAGGGATTTCATAAAATGGATATTTAGCGTACCGAAAATGAGGCGGTTCATTTATATAGGGGACTATGTGAAAACATGGACTTATTTTGAACATTTTCTGTAAAAGAAGTTTTGTACTCCACAAGAGCCCTGTACCTATATTGAATATTTTCTCCGAGTCTAATGGATCTAAAACTATTAAAAATATTTAAATTGGACACTGCCAAATTATAGCCTCTTTGGTAGGAATATGAGCCTAGGGCCATTAAAATACCTAAAATTGAAAATAAAATGGAAAATAAGGCTTGAAATTCCAAAAAGCACAGCTATTGCAAACCATGGACCGAGGAAGCAACATATTTAATATTTAATTATATTAAAACGTATAGTGGCCATGTTTGCGCAAAATTTCAAAGATCTATTTTAAATATTAAGATGAAAATAATACATCAAATGTGTCCGAACTAAATGTATACCAAACTCTACAACAGCTGTAGCACTTCTCCAGTTTTATAAAATGGGTGAATGTGTGAGTCGTTTACCAAATCGGGTCGTTTTGGATCGTACACCAAACTGTCGTTGAAAAGACTTCCTTTACCTTTTTTTCTTTCTAGTTGATTTTTTTCTGAATAAATAAAATATAAAAAGTGATCATATTCCCTATTCCCAAATAATAATAAATAGCAAATTAATACATAACATCATAATAACATAACTATCAAGATCCGAATTCTCCATAACAATTTATTCTTCCTAGTTCCTGTTATAAGAGAAGAGCGTGATTTAGCTTATTAATATATATTAAAAAAACAAACTAATTATTCACTATAATACAAAAAAACATAGAAAAACATCATGCGCTATCACATAAAAAAACGATAAACAATTAATAGAAATTTGGGCCCAAAAAATTGCAAATTTGTAATAAATTGTAAATTTATAATAAATATATAATATAAATAATAGGATAAAAATTTAACTAACACTGATAATCATTCTTTTAACTATAAAATTATATTCTATAAATATATATCATCTAACAATTAAAAAATTGTGTTTATATAATAAATAACTTGTGAGGAATAGAAAGGATATATGGTATATATCATGGTTAAAAAAAAAAACTGAATATTGGACATATTACTCCTTTGTTATTATAAAACAAAGCCAGAAATTTATATGGCTCATATAATTTACTTTAAAAATTATCCATAATTACCAATGTAATTAATATAAACCAAGTATTTATTTTAACCACACTTTTAATTAACAATAAAAAATAACCTAATAAAATCCTATAATATTTTGATATATTATTTCCATTTTTTCAATAATATAAAAATCCAAAAAATTTATTACTTACTTTTTGGGTATAGTAGAAACATATGGCATCAGTACTTTATCAACAAATGAACCGAAACCTAGACGGAAATTCGAGGTAATATTACGCATAGTTTCGGATAACAGATCACCCAAGGCGGACAGTTTTTCTTTGTCGTCTTCCATAGATTTGGACAAGTCCATAAGATAATATAAATCAACTGGATAATCTTCGGCTTGTGAATAACGGAATTGTAAATTGTGGGCTTCGTCTGGAAGAAATCAGAAACAAAAAAAATTAAAAAAAGAGTTCAAAAACATTTTTATTACAAATATAAACTTACTTATTCTCAATTTAAGATTAACTCTTTGTGGGCTAATTTGTACAATTTCACTAGCACTGCTGGCCGAGGCACCATATGCACCCGATGAACTTGATGACGCCGAACCGCTATACGAACCCGAATATGAACTACTCGATGAGGCATTGTAATAATATGAACCTTCCGCAGACATTTGTCCACCACCCATGGCCGCTGCACTACCACCACGACTCAATTCACGCATCATCAATATTTCTTGGACAGTCTTGGGATTTTGTATATAACGTGGATCACAGAAATTATTGGTATATTCCAAGAAACATCTTGGCTTGTCGCCATGATTCGGTTCCGAACACCAGGCACATTCCAATGTTTGTATACAATCGTGGCAGGTGACTTTATTAACGCAGGGATTTTGTATTAGTTTGCCGGCCAATTGACAATTAGCCTCAAGACTCAATAGAGTTATGGTTAATGCCATTAGCCATGGCAGGCATTGTTTGGAGGTTATCATTGTGAGTGTGTGTGTGTGTGCTTTCTGGTCTTTCTTTTCTTTTTGGCAAATGATATGAGATGCTGTTTGGTGGTTTGTTTCCAAAACAAAAATAAATACTAAACTTCGTTGCTTAAATTAATATCGTTCGTTAACTAAAATGAAAAGAATAAATTATTATTAATATGATTTTTTTTCAATAAACAAATTTTTGAGAAAATATGCAGTCACACTAAATGATGTCATTAATATTTCGTAATCAGTATTTCATTATTTTGTTGGTTTCTATAACTTTGCGAAAAATATTATTAATCAGTATTTGTAGATAAACTGTTATTTTGTTTTAAAATTGCAAATCGCAAAAAATTGTTTTAGAATAAACGTTATGTATGTTCTGCGAATAATTCTTGAGGTCATAATTTTTTAATTTAGTCATATAATACGAAAAAAAGTGACTATTGCCATGACAAATAACTCAGTAATCAAAAACATTTAAAACAATTAATATTTATAGAAGAACTAAATAGGAGATATTTTTGTAGAGGTGCCAGGGGAAAAGCTTTTTATAGGCAAACTGAAACAGGGAAATTTTATAGACGAGCTGCTGGATTTTTTTATAGACGAACTGAGAGTTGAAGCGACTCTTTGTAAGCGACCTAAAGGGAGTCATAGACTAGACTAGGGTGAAGGCAGTCTTTATAGACGAGCTGAATGGAGTCTTTATGGACGAGCTGATGACAGTCTTTCTAGACGAGTTGAAGGGAGTCTTTATAGACGAGCTGAAATCTTTATACACGAGCTGAAATGAGTCTTTCTACGCGATCTGAAGGGCGTCTTTACAGTCTGGCTGAAGGCGATCTTTATAGACGAACTGAAGGGAGTTTTTATATACGAACTAGGGGGTTATTTGCAGACGAGTTAAGAGAATCTTCATAGACGAGCTGAAAGGAGTGTTTATAGACGAATTTAAGGGAGTCTTTATAGACGAGTTGAAGGGAGACTTTATATACGATCCAAAAGGTGTATTTTAAAAGGACTGAAGGTAGTCTTTATAGACAAGCTGAAGGGAGTTTATAGACGAGTAGAATCACAAAGTATGAATTGAGGTTTTATAGACGAGCTGAAGGAAGTATTTATGATAAGCCGAGAGAAGATGAGCTGAAAGAAATCTATTAGGAGTTTTTATAGACGAACTGAAGGAAGTCTTTGGAGGCAAGCTGAAGAGCGTACAGACGATCTAAAGGGAGTCTTAAGGGTAGATGAGAAGAAAGTTTTTTTCTTTAGAAATTTATGTCAGGAATATTCGAGTTCTGACGGGCTTTAGGCTTGTCTGAAAATATTAAAAATCTGTCATTTTTCTTCACTTCCGTAATTCAACGACCGGCTTTGCTACGACAACTTTATGGCGCAACAATTTATGGCACAAGAACTTGTATTATTCTATTTGAGTCCATTCCAAATATGGATTATATACTAACAAACACTATTGCTGATATTATTATTTAATATCTTCCATATCTGAATTTAGAAGTTTAAAATTAATCAAAAAGGAAAAAAACACAGGCGGAAAGAAAAGTAACAAAAAAACAACGAAACACAAAGAGAAAAATGAACATTAAAACTTTTACGTGAGCTGATGTTATATTTGTTGTATTTTTTATTATTTTTTTGTTGTTATTATTATCAACGCTGTGACGAGGCGAGGCCATTCGTATGTGGACAATGTTACCGCTCTCTGTTGCTGATTTTTTTATTCAATTTTTTTGGTTTCTGTTTATTTTTCTTATATCAACGTTTGCTGGCAAGCAGTAAACTCATCAAGATTTCGTATGAACCAACATTAAGTCAAATACATATAAGGTATGAGTCATACGTATGTACGTACTATGCGGCAGCAGCACACGCCAAAAGAGATTCAACCGTCCAATTGAAAATTAAAAAAGAAATATATATATATATATATATACAGACAACGAAAAACAGATGAATAAAAAAATAAAATCCTAAAAAATATATAGCTACACAAACATTTGGTAGGATGGCAGGCAATGTAATGGCCCCCAACATAAAATCATGGGAGGAGATTCCATAAGGTGTTTTTTACATATACCAATTCCCAAGAGCATAAGGCAAATCAAAGAACCAAACTTAATTGAATTGAAGTGATTTTATCATTACTAGGTTGATTGCATGCCGGGGGCCTGCCTATGGGTGGAGGCATTTGACCTGAAAATTGCCACAATGACCTAAGAAACACACACACGGGCAAACACTTTTCAATAAAACAAATTGCAAGTATTTCAATTTTGTTTCTAACGACTGAAGAATGAGGTAATAAATAGTTTTTAAAATCAGGTCAGAGGTTTAATGAGCATAAGAGCTGATGTCCTCAACAAAACAACAAAGGAAAAAATTGTGAAAAAGAAAACCTTCCAATATGGATGTGATCGATAAGTAAAAATATTTTGAATTGAATAAATAAATGAATTTTCAATATGGAAACAGCAACAGCAGCAGTGACACATTATGAATCACAATGTAGAAATTGATTCATTGATCTTCCTCGCTGCTTTCAACACACTCTTTGTTGTGGCGCTGTTGTGTATTGTTGTTTCCGTCAAAAAGCAGCTATACAAATTATATACCGGTTTTTATTTGTAATATTTATAAGATTGTTAAGAAATTATAAACAAATACAATTTTTTCAATGGAAATTCTATGGAATTTGCGACACAAACACACAATCGTAAATGTTTAGTGTGGTGTAAAAATTGAATAATTATTTGAAATTGCAAATTTTTAAATGTGAGTCGCCGCTATGACGAGATGTGAGGTATTAGAAAATTAATTAACACATATTAAACAATGAGATAAATTATATATATTTACATTTAAGGCCGTTAAATCAATAAGGCTATAATATAACATCAGCTACAGAGATGAGTCGCACGAAGTGTTTATATGCGGAATGAAGGGAGTCTTTAAAAAATAACTGAAGGGAGTTTTTTATAGACGAACAGAAGGAAGTTATCTGAGACCAAAAATGAACGGAAACGAATTGAAGAGAGTCGTTATAGATCATCTGAAGGGAGTCTTTAAACAAATACTTAATCTGGAAATCTCTGTAGAAGACAGTCTTTATAGACGAGTAGTCGAGGAAGTCTTTATAGACGAGATGAAAGGAGGCTTTATAGGAGAGCAGAAGGTAGTCTCTATTGATGGAAATCTCTGCAGACGGGCTGATATAAGCATTTACAGAAAAGTCCATAAAATGAAGAGAGGATTATCCCATTAGACGGGTGTGGTGTTGCCATTATGTATGAACTGACCGGAGTACTTTATAAAAATTTTACCAACAGTTTGAACGGACCCTAGCTGACGATCTGAACATAGTTCTTATATAGAAGGCGACTTAAAGAATTCATTACATACGGGATTGACGGAAGTGTGTCTTTAGAGACGAAATCATATCTATGATTTGAAGAGGGGAAAAAAAGTATTTTCATGTTGACCGACTGACTAATGAAGTTGTTGTTGTAACAGACCTTTTTATAATGGGCTGAGGTAGCAGACTTTGGCCGAGTAACACTCAGGTCATTTCGGATCGTAGACCCACTGTCGTAGAAAGTCACTTTTGTTGGTAGTTGAATGAATAATTTTTATATCCCACACAACTAAGTTGCAGGGGTATTATAGCATTGTGAGGTCTCATGAGTTTGATCACAGACCACCTTTATATCGCAAAATATTTTACACGGTGGAATGGCTTTAAACTTGAAACAAGCATGAATCTGGACCCAGACTTACAGCGGCCTACCTATTTTAATATTGTTTAGTATTACCATTATCACCCTAGAGGGTGTAATGATGATATTCATGGGGTGAAATAGATCGAGAATTTCATTTTCGTGTGTGTTTCAAGTCGAAAATGACAACATATCACACAGGGAATTGAATCTGGTCAACTAATAAAAAGACAACATTTGGGAGGCATATAAAAGAGGAACTTTTGATCTCAAATCGTTCAAGAGGGTACAATTATCGCTATATATTGTCCAGATTGGGAATATATCGGAAAATTCAGTGGTTGTTGGTAGTAAAATATAGGTTAGAGTAATGATGAGCCCCAAAACTCAACTTGCTCCACGCCTGTTCTGATTACTTTGAAAATATATAAATTTTAAATTCACACCTGTTTCATTGTTAATAAAAACTATAGATAATTGCTTTAAAAATATAAAATTAAACTGATCCTTGACAAAGTAATTTGTAAAAGTCCAAGATTATGCTAGGAAAAATATTGTTTAAAAAATTTACATCTATTCTAGTCCTTTAGTTTTTTTAATTCAACACTGATTTTAATATTTAAATTATTGATAAAAGGGTGTCCTTAATATTGAAGACCGTCCGTAGAACTTTTATGAATAGCTTTTTAAAGGTATTCCATTGTGTGAATAATTTCATATTAATTGGTCTGTTCCGTAATGCAAGAATCTACAAGTTTTTTTATATTTTTTTCGATATCGTAAAGGACAAGTGTTATCGTGTTATATAAAAATAGTAGATTCTTGCAGTACGGGAACAGACCAAATATCAAATATATTTTCCTACCGGGTATCTACATTTAAAAAAGTTGTGGGTATGACTTTTGCAGTCTCTGAATCCATATTTTCGTGTTACATACCCCTTATAAAAACCAATATACTCTTCCCATTACTGTACTGAAGCAATGTATTCAGAAAAACGAACTCCGTCAAACGACAATATGCCTCAAGTCAAATACAATTTCCTTTGTCTACAATCGAATGCAATCAAGACTGCAACAAAGCCTTGATTTGGCAACGACACTCATTAATAAAACAAAAAGCGTGTCGATGCAAACAACAGAATTATCACGTGCCACCATATATACATAAGTATATATAACAAAAATGGAAATGTAAGACGTTATTGTAATATCAGCTAAAAACAGCATTTTGATTGAACTTCCGATCCAAAAATCCACACGATTAATATCTTTA